TTTCAACTTTATCACCCTTTTTTAGAGAAATTTTATGAAAAACAATAACTTACTATCACCTGCAATAAATTCTCTCACAGCATGAGAGCACTGTACTCTCACAGTTGTTATGTGATTCAAACTTTTTCTCTTTGTTTCAATGACAGGACCAATCCCAATTCATTTCAAATAAGTCATTGCAGCTATTTTTGACAATGCAATTTTCTCACTTTGGTGTTGTGAGCCTGCGGATTTTTACGGGGCTCTTAAAATCAAAATTTAATAGCAATTGTTTCCAAAATGTAAACATCTTTGTTAGAAAAAAACGGAGAGGTAGAAATTAGATCAGAGGTCGCTGATTGTAGTAACAAGTCAGTGGGAAAGTTGACACACAGCTGTCAAGAATGCACTGTCATCATCAACTAAAGTCGATCACATGTTAGATTTCCCATAACAATGAAGCTCATGCCCCGGAAACTCAGCATGTGTCTGCACATGGAAGTTATTTCTGTACTTGTGCCAGTCAATTTCCATGCAAAGGAATTAGATCCCGTCGGAGAAGACATTCAACGGCTGCAGACTCTTCCATCAGCATCTGCCATACTTTGGTCATCATGCCATACATATATCGTCCATTCTCACATAGAGGTATTGTATGTTAGTACTCTGCAAACTCTCTCTCTCCCCAGAAACGAGATTAGACGTAGCTGACAGCTGCCCTTAGTATAACTTGCATTTAACCGCATTTAATCAAGTAGTCTTGTAATGATCTTATATGTTAACTTAGCTTAGTTATTCAATAAATGTGTTGTTTATTTGTTAAACCTGTCTCCTGTCTCTGAAAAGACGCCTGCTGGCTTACCGATGCACTCCCCACTTACTTTTTGCCCTCCTAGCCATCCGACGACTCCGAGACCAGGTTTTACCAGCCTGTGCAGTGTAAGTGGTCAGGAGGGATTAATCCCTGGCCCTCTGCTTGTCTCACAGTGTTATCGCCCTGCTGTCTGGCAATCAGAGCATGAAATTTAATACTTTCAATTTTTCAAGAATTAAAATTTATGTTTATTATGTAGCAATACTATTTTAGTAATTGTGACCCAAACATTTATTCAGTAATTTTATCAATATTTTTTTAATTATTAAAAATAAAATTATAGACCTCATTACTGGCAATACTAGCTGTTAAATCTAAAAAAAAAAACATTCTTCTGAGTGCAAGAAAACAATTTGTTAGTCATTTGACCCACAACTGACAGAGAAGGAAGTTTTTGAAAACAAACTAATAAAATGATTTGTTGTTTGTTGTCATTCACAATGGGGGGGACACAGAGTCTATTACTTTCTTGAAAGAAAATAAACAAAGCTTTACTACCCCGAACTTGAAAAATAATACGATTCTGTGAAATTTAACAAATCTGATCAATAAGTAAATGTTGAAATTATTTATAGTGAGTTGATATTTGATAAGTTTAGTTTTTTGCATTTACAGATCAAATTACAGAAAATATAAGTAAAAATCTAATTTTTTTAAAATCCATAATAATAGAAAATCCATAGATAGTAGAAAAAAATGTAAAAATTGAAGATATAATTGTAATCAAGTATATATATCAGTAAAATAATAAAAATTGCATTAATTTGCTTTGTATTCAGCAGATACAGCGTGCCAAATGATATCATGAAACTTGATGCACTTGGATGAGAGTTAAGAATGAAATAGCAATAAAATATTATAATTCACATATATTAGTGAGATTAATTAATTAGCTATCCAATGTTGGCATTTACTACTTTGAAAAATGAGCTAGACAAAAATAAAACTATTTGTTTTGGAGGAAACAAACAGAAATCCATCATTGTCATTTAAATTTCAGATATTTTTACTGTCCAGTAATCTGTGAAAGCAAGTATTTTTATGAATTACACAATTACAAAATTCTAAAGATAAGCCCAAACATCAGATTAGTTTTGGAATAAATAATGGCTAGTTTATAATCTTGAAATTTGGCTTAAAGGTAAATGTATTTTCTCTGTTTTATTAACAACAATAATAAAACTAAATACAGTAAAACCTGTCTATGGCGACCACCCACGGTTCCTTCAAAAAGTGGTCTTTTAGGCAGGTGGTCGTTCAATACAGGTGGTGCTGTAATACCGTATTTCCGTACGTATTTTGCGCACTTTTTAGCCATTTCTACTAAGCAAAACTCGAGGTGAGCAAAAATAAGCGAATTTTTTCAAGGATAGGGCTATATTGGTATTGTATTTTATTCTTATCGGATAACCCGATTTACAGGAATCGTCATGATATTATAAGACAGATTTAATACCAATATTTTAAAGATTAATACTATAGTTGCATTTTCTCGATTATAATGCACACTTTCTTTTTTCCGACTTAATTCATTCGACTCGGTTCTTTTCGTTCGCTCCTCAGTTACGTGTATTACGTCATCAATATACAAGCGCGTCCTATCTCTCCATCACTTTGCTTTTGGTTTTCGTTAGTTTAATCTTATTTTAACTTTAAAAATACTGTATTTTTTAATATTTAATATTTTCTTAATTAATTAAGTACAATAAGAAAAATTATTAATTAATAATAAAACGATTTTATTATTTTTTCTCATTATACGATTTCATTACAATCGCGGAATCGAAAAAGGAAGTAAAACTGATTTTTGCATTAATGCGTTTATTGTTTTTTGAATATTTTGCCTGCGAAAATTACTTGGATATTATTTTTCTAAAAATATCGTGGAAATAAGGTAGGTTGATACAGAAACTATTTATCGCACGTGTACTGTATATGAGCTTCAAAATAAATAAATAAAAATAGATTTTATCAAACGATGAGATCAGCCGATTAATTGTATCGTGTACAATATTTTACACCCCCAAGGAAAATACTGTAGGTCTAGGGTAAAATAAATTTTGTTTTCCCACAGTTAAACTTCGCCGCTAATTGCTGTTGTGATAACTTTAATACGATCTTCTAACGACAGCACTTTGCATTTCGGACATTTTCCAACAAACTGAAATGAATTTCCTTTGTTGCTAGACTAATTTATTAACACCTGCACCTAATTTCGAGGGTGGGAGAAGTGCCCGGGATGGGTTCGAACGAGAGTTTAGACTAATTCATTATATTAGGAGGCGGAAAAGTTGTTGAGATGGGTTCTTACAATAGTTTAGACCAGATACATTCGCGAAAGTGGTCGCTTATTACAGGTGTTGTGTGTTGTTTCGGACCAAAAATCGATGCCCGCGGTCGCGTTACACAGGTGGTCGTTTAATACGGGTAACTTATACGAAGACTCTATGGATAAACTATTCCGTGCCAGAAATTTTTGCCCGTTTTGGCAGGTGCCCGTCGAATGCAGGTGGTCGCCTAAGCAGTTTTCACTGTATAAGCTTATAAATTAGAAGGCATTTAAGCTTACCTTCATTGAATTTGGGATTTGATTTGTATTCTATACAAATTCCCAGAATTTATAGGAAAATATTTATGTTTACTAAAATGAAACTTATTTGTATACTTATGTGACAGTGGTGTGCTTACCATTTCATGTAAATGAAGTAAGGTTTTCATCTTTTATTCCTGTCTACATTCATATTTTAAATAGTAAGTGCAAATATTAGATGCACAATGATAAATCTTACTGAATGGCTGAATTATAATAATTATAAAGGATAGATAGATGGATTTAAACATTTCAGGTTTTTCTTGAAAACAGGGCTGTTGAGTCGAAGTTGGAGTCGTGGAGTTTTAGTGTTTTAGTCAGAGTTGTAGTCGGAGTCGTCAAAAAATCTGTCGACTCTGACTCCTTTTCACTTCTCAACTTGTTATGTATATACAATGGAAAAGTATTGAAATCGTGTCAAATTTGACCCTCCATGTTTCTTTTACAAATCTACACATTTGGAGATCTCCCGAACCCCCCCAAAAAAGTCAATAAAAGAGGAAAAATTTGCACACGTGTATGTTGGCATCTAATTTGTTTAATTTCTTTATTTCTTTAGCCATTCTGAGATATTTTCAATATCTCAGAATGGGTAAAGTTTAAGAAACGAAATGTGGCACTGTAGCTTGCGTATAAAGGGGCATTAATACTATTAAATTTTGAAATTCTTAATTAAAAGTCGACAGGGTGAAGACATAAAAGAGGCCATGTGTCATATCTCTTAATTAATGAATATTTTACTCGTTATTAGTGTTCAAAATTTAAAAAATAAAAAGTAAAACTCGTCTTTACCCTCAAAGTAAGCTCTTTTGTCATTTTATAATTGTACAGTAAAACTTGTTAAGATATTCTCGCCTACAATGTTAGAATGTGCATGGGGACATGATTTAGTTCAACCACTCTGATGCTTAATAACTAACTCCTGTGTTAAACCATCTGACTCCGATTCTAACCACTCAGACCACAGAAATTATTAGGCTTCAAACAGGATCATGCCCCCACACACAATCTAACATCCACACATATAGAAAAAAACCTCGAATCTTTTGCATATTTCTAAATTTCAAGGTGTCCTGAGTCCAAAAATGTAAAAATTTGGGAGGGGTCATTTTTTTGACCGAGCATTACACTTTCCCTCTGTTATATATAACAGCTGGAAAAGTAAAAATTATCGAATACATATTTATATATTACTTAGAGGAGTCTTTTAGCTTTGGAATAAAAAGTTTCTACGTTCTATCTTTATTAGAACTCTATTTATTGAATCTTTTATTCTGAGGTCACGTGATGACATCAGAATTTGCAGGTTTCTTTCGGTAACAAGTCTGCCCCTGGTCGGAGTCGGATGGTAAGGAAGAGTCGGAGTTGGAGTCGGTAGATTTTTACGCGACTCCACAGCCCTGCTTGAAAATGTTTAAATCTGTCTTGATGCAATTTTATTGTTTTTACTTAACAATATCAAATTTTTTAAAATTAATATTTCATTAAATTACTTTTTTTTAATGCTGTACAAACAATTTTATTAGAGTAAATTATAATAATTTTTATTTTATTTAGGTGGAAAATAGCTCTCCAAAAGAAATGCCTTGGAAAGTGAACTTATATCGAGGTTATCTTGCAATTTGCCATCCTGATGAACATCATTTAAATATTGTTGAACGTGTTGTAGAAGTAGCAACTGGTTTGTGTATTAGAGAATGGAGACGACTTCCACATATTGTATCACATATACATTTACCAATGCTACAAGTATGAAAATTTTATTTTTAGTATAATTTTAAATTAATTGGTGTTCTCTTATGATTTAAAAAGTAAAAAAAAAAAAAACAAAATTTTGTTTTATTTTAATTATTTTTGTGTGATTTAAAAACTTTATTTGCATATTTGTGTAGCATATGATTAAATTTTGATTAAAAAAATTAATTTAAATAATTTTTTATATATTTTACAATTTATTAGTTATTATTATTGATAGATAAATAGGGAGATTCAAAGATTTATCACTATTTCATTTTATGGTAATTCTTTTTGACAAATATTCTTAAAAGAGTTAAGTTTGTATTCTTTTGATAAATTTTTAAAGTAATAAGATGCATTTAAAGTTAATTATATGGATATAAAAATAACAAAATTATAGTTCTTATTTTGTATAATTTTTCTGTAATCTTTCAAATACAATAATCTGTACATTATTTTAACAGTTTCATATAAATGTCTTTATTTACTTATAGTTACATCTGTATCTATAAATTGTACATAAATTGAAAAATTTTGCATGGATTTCTTGCATGGAAATCTTGCACGGATTAGTAAAATTAATTGAACAATTTATTTTTTTAAATTTTAATACATTTTTTTATATTGCAAGTGATAGATAAATGTTTTCATTCATTTAATTGTTGTAAGGGTATAATTTTATTTAATAGCTAAATTTCTTAAGAAATAATGTAATTATATTATTATTATATAGTTTAAAAGTAATGTAATTAAAGTATTTTAATGTTTTTGGATTAATTTCTGATTTTACCTCAGAAGTAAATTCCTAAGTTTTGAAGGAAAAACATAGAAGTCTTGAATAATCAAATTGAAACATATAAAAAAGATTTGTGAGTAATTCTGAAAGCATTAAAGTAATTAAACTACAACATAAAATCTATCGTTTGTGGTGAACTTTTTTCTTTTGTATTTTATGACACACTGGTTATAGGTTCTAGGAGTACATTTTTTTAACATAAAATTCAGTGAGAAGAATAAAAAACATTTATTAAACAACAAAAGTTTTCAACCTTTACAAAAGCCATCCTCAGGTTCTACTGGTAGAATGCAAATTGAACAGAAACAGAATTTAAATAACATTTGTTGTATATGAACATTACTTAAATTCTGTTTCTGTTTGATTTGCATTCTACTAGTAGAACCTTAGGATGACCTTTGTAAAGGTTGAAAATGTTAGTTATTTAATAAATGTTTTTATTCTTCTCACTGGACTTTAGGTTTGGAAGTGTTGTATTATATACATCCAGCTCAGGTTAGGGTTTCTACAGTAATTAAACTAAGAAGGTTTTTTCAAAGATATTGTGGATTAGTATTTAAAAAAAAAAAGAAATTTCAGATGTGTTAAGATTATAAACAATACTTAATTAAATATTATTTGAGAAAATAAATACAACCAAAGAGCTCAGTCTGGATGTCTTCAAATGTTTACTTATAATTTTTCCTAATGTCATCCATTTAACTCACTCATCTTTCGAGCAGTCCTTCTCTTTCATCAAGTGTTATGAAATGTCATTTATCCCACAATACATACATATATTATTGGATAGATGACATCACATAAATGTTTTTTGAGTTCCTTAAAAATTACTTTCAATTATCATAGAATTTTTAAAAACCATATTAGATAGAAAGCAATTGTTTCATATTAAGTATTTAATGATTATTTCTTAATATATTTGTACAGGCAGCTCAGCAAATTATGGAATTACAGGAAGCTGCACAGATACACCAAGGTCTTTTACCAACTCATATGGCACGTACAACTAGTTTACATGATATGAAGGCAATTGTTAAGACATGGCGTAATCGTTTACCGGTATTGAGTGATGATCTTTCACATTGGAGTGATATTTTCACATGGCGACAACATCATTATCAAGCAATTGTATCTCATTATGAAGTAAATCAAGGCACACAGACTGCAGTTGAAAGTAATCAAGCAATGCTTGGTGTACATGCATCTGCTCAGTCAATTATTCATTATGGAAAAATAGCAAGGAAGCATAATCTAACAGGAGTTTGTTTAGATACTTTGAACAGGTAATTATAGGTATTCTAGCATTATAGAGAAATATTTAAAGAAATATTTTTGATTAAAAATTCAAAACTAATTATTCCAATTACTAATAAATTATTATAGATACAAAGAACATATTGCTACTGTATGATTAATGTATTAAATTAGGTTAAACTCAGAGAAAAGAACAATTTGAATAGACTTCAAACTTGTAAATCTTTCATATAATTGTCATTTATGCCATCAATGCCTTTAAGAAATTTCTCTCATCTATAAATTATGCCTCTAATCTACAATATAGCAAAATTATTAAGATTTTATCCATTTCTATGTTGATCAGAAGCACTATATTAAATCAAATTTTTAAAGGATAATCAGTCAGTCACAATATATAATATATTCCAATTATATATTGTAGCTAGTTGAATATCTTTGAAAACTGTGGATTCTTAGGAATAATTTTCTAATGTGCCGTCTATTTTTTAAATATTTAATTATTTTAATATGTTTACAGAATTTTATAGTAATTTATTGTCAACCAAATACCATTTTGACTGTTTTTTTTTATTTATTTCAAGATTTGTAATGACTAACTTCATTATTAGAATACATAGCATTCCAAGTGTGCCAATTGTGGATTGTTTCCAAAAAATTCGTCAGCAGGTGAAATGTTACTTGCAGATGTCTAGCATTATGGGAAAGAATGAATTACAAGAGGTAATCTAACAAATATTATATAAAACATTAAACAAATTTTATTCATTACCAGAAATAATAATAATAAAATACTAATAACATAGCTGAATACAAAATACACATTTAAAGCGATCAATACATATGTATTGATCGCTTTAAATGTGTGTTTTGCATTCTTTTGACTTTCCTTTGGAGTTGTTCTAGTTCTGTGAACTAGAACAACTCCAAAGGAAAGTCAAAAGAGTTGTTAATGGAGTTGTTCTAGTTCTGTGAATTAGAACAACTCCATTAACAAAACATAAGTCTAATATCAGCCTAATTATTCTATAAAAAGGTTGGCTCTTCCTCATAAAGAGGAAGGACAAAGCCTCACAAATATTTTAAATCCATACTAGAAAAAATACAGACACTACAAGAATTTTTCTGCAGAAAACAAGAAACATCATAATAACACAAAACTGTAACTCTTGTAGACAAAAACAGTACATCATTAAACTTACACAATGTTGACCACAAAATGCAGACAAACCATCATTTAGTCTTGGAATTGGAATAAGCCGCACAATAGGCATCTCAGCAGGATCATGTTGAAAGAACTGTGTCAAACTGTTGGCTGACTCATGGATGCCTCTTTGGAGAGACATAAGATTGCCATACAAGACTAAGTTTTAAATACATGAAACTACAGGAAGCACATTTTTAAAAGACATGACACTTGTAGAAAGTGCTACATAGTGCACAAAATTATACAACATATCACATCTGGTTGCAAGTCATTAACACAAATTGACTGCTCACATCACCATAATCAAATAGCAAAGCTAATACTGTATCTACATCAAAAGCTTGCACACAAATACAAACTTTATATAATCATTTGAAAAGAATATGCACAAAATACATATTGACTAAGCTATAATTATAGACAAAACAATCTATCTTAACAGATCAGATATCACATTCATTTACAGATGAAAGGATATCACATGCATTACAGACATAGTTATACCAAATACTCATTACATATAAAATACATATACTGAAAAAATTAGTAAATACCTATCTCAAAAACATCTATTAATTGTCTTTATTTCATTAACCAATTTTTATTTTATTGCCTAAGTTGGAAGGAGTTTAAATTAAATGCTTGAAAATAAAAAATTCTCCATAGACATAACATTAAAGCAAATTACTTTTTTTCACTAAGTTAAAAATTTTAATATTCTAGTACTCTCAAAGTGTGTATCATTTACCACAGTTTAGTTAAAATTGCTCTCACAATTATGAAAAATTCTTACGAAATGACATTCTTTATATTATTTATCAGGGATTAATTAATAACAACTAATATTGAAACAGTTATATTACTTTAATCATTTGAATGCATTCAATTTAAAAATTTTTAGTAATGCATATTTTTTATAATATGAATTTTTATGAATTTCAGGGATTAGAAGTAATTGAGTCAACTAATCTTAAATATTTTGGCAAGGAGATGATAGCAGAGTTTTATGCACTTAAAGGAATGTTTTTAGCCCAAAGTGGAAGATCTGATGAAGCCAATAAGGCTTTCAGTGCTGCAGTTCAAATGCATGATACTTTAGTCAAAGCATGGGCATTGTGGGGTGATTATTTGGAATCAATATTCACAAGAGATCGATGGGAAAGGTAATCTTGTTTGAAACTAAACTTTTACTATTTATATTTTATAACAATACAGTAGAGCATCATTTATCCGAATCAATTGGGGACTGGGGTTGTTTGGATAACTTATTTTTCGGATAACTGATTATGTACGAAAAAATATATTAACCTGTCCCGTGTTGAAATTTTTCTCTGTTGCATGTCGCTTCACGTTGAATTTTCATCGATGTTAAGCCTAATGTAAACTTTTTTAAATAATAATCATGGCTATTGTATCGTTAAAAATTATTTCTTTATTTTTTACAAACAAAATAAATATATTGAAAAGTATGAAAACAAAAAAAATTATACTTAAATTAATCTAGTATCAAAAACGTTCGATTCAGCATGACACACAGTCCTCAGAAAAACACCAGTGCTGCCAGCTAAAACACACACACCAACAAAAAAAATATTGGAGTAGCCCAAGATATAGCCAAAGATTGCAGCACCACAGCACTAGTGAAAATTAAAATTTGCCAACTGGAATTCTTTCGGATAACCGATGCTCTACTGTATTTATGTAAAATTCAAAATATGTAATGTTTATTTCTGATAACATTCTTTCTGTATTCTGATTTCTATTGAAAATTTTTTCAATTTGAATGTTAATTCTAACCAGAGTTATGTTAATTCTAGCCTGTTTTGAAATACTTTTGTTTTTTATTATTTCTTGTTAAAATAATAAAAAATAAAAGTATATTAATTATTTTAACAAGAAACTGCTATAATAGTAGGATGTTTATGTTTCTTTTTATTGTTNAGAAAATTTTTACTAGAAAAAAAAAAAAAAAACATAAAATATAAAAAATTTGATAATTGCTACTTAAAATGACAAATTTTTAGGAATTTTGAACATTTAATTTATAAAGTAAACTTTTTTGTTTAATTTTTTTAAGTTAAAAATTCAATCTAATCTATTAACAAATTATGAAATTAAGCTGCTTTAAAAAATAAATGCTGAAAGAATATAATAAAATATCAATTTTTGAAAGTAAGGCTGTCTGTCCTTCCTTAATCTTGAGAACAAAGTTAAAAAGATGAAAGATGAGACCAGATATGGAAACCTTAGGAGCAGGAGGCCCCGATTAACTATATACAAACTTCCAATGCAGACTAGAAGTCATGTTATTTCAATTCAAAAATTTTTTACAGAAAGGTGTTAGATATAGATGACCAGCATGAAGCATATTGTTGAAGGAAAAGTATGATATACAGGGGCAAGTCACTACTTACTTAAGGGGGAGAGCATATATTTTAAATTAAATAAATTAAAAATTACAGCTCAGCATTGTAACTATGTCACAATAAATAATTGCTTATTTCTATTTTTAAATTATATTTACAATAAAATGTTTTGTTAATAAAAATTCTTTGTAAACAACAACAAATATATGAAATTCAGATAACCATTTTATACATAAAACATCAAAAAGTCTACATTCCTTTATAATTGAATGATTATTTTGATATCATTGTTTTGTGATAGTTTTGTTTCTAGTATTTAAAAATAGCATAAAACTTAATTGTTACAGATATATGAATAGTTACTAAATGTAGATATTTTTAATTTACAGTCGACAGATTCATGTAGGAATCTCTGCTCTTACTTGTTATTTGCATGCTTGTCGTCATCAGAATGAAAATAAATCTCGAAAGTATCTTGCTAAAGTAAGTGTGAAAAAATAATAATCAATCAAAATTTATTATAATTAATATTGTGCAGCTTAAGATTTAATATCAAGCTTTATTTATTTGAAAATTTATATTTGAAATTATTTTAAACATAAATAAAAACTTTTAATGTTTATATTTCTAGGAAAAATTATTCATTTGCTTTAAATATTTGTTTATTGTATTTACTTTGAATTAACTATTACATAAATTATGTATGTGTTACATTTAGATAAAAAAATTTTATATAGTATGTAATATAAAAATAATACAATACTGTAAAATTCCATAACACTTTTGATTAAAACAATATTTTATTATAGTTGATTCATTATGAACAAAAAATGATAAAATATAACTAAATAATAATAATTTTTGAAACAACTAAATTTTTACTAAATCAGTTCTTAATGCAGACTTTTTTAACTGGTGCAAATGATTGATAGTCTCTAATTCTCTTAAGAGTCACTATCAATCTGTTTGTAATATAGGAAGAATCCTAATAGCAAACATTTTGTTTTTATATTTATTTACTTGCATTTTTCTTCCTCTTTAAATTCCTGTTGATCCAGTGGAAAATCATTCTAATTCAAAGTTGATTAAATCTGAGAAGAAGTCTGATGGCATTTGTCTGAAATGCCATCAGACAAATGTCATCAAATGCCATCTGACTTTGAATAATATTTTACCAGTGAGCAATTTCTGCTTATTCTTCATGCATTGTCCTCCATTTTGGCATTGCATTATTTCAAGTTGAAGATACTATGAAAGAGCTGCCAGTATTACCTCCAAAACAATATAGACAATATTTGTTTGTTAAGTTACGGCAATGCAACACTTGGGCAATTTGCCTAGGGGAATGCCTTCCAGGAGGACTTTTTAAGAGTAACTGGCCCCTTTTCAGGTATTACAGACATGGAGAAAACCTGGAAAACTTCACATGCAGCCTGTTCTGGCAAGGTGTGATCCCACAACTGAACTCCCAGTGTTCAGGGAATGGAATTGGCCACTAGTGGGCCAAAACAATATAGACAAAGATAAAATCAGTAGGATTTAAATTAGTTAAAAACAAGACAAACAAGTGAATTTTGAGTTTTTGACAAGAAATGTGTGTAGGATTTATAATTATATACTGCCTACAGTATGCATAGAATTTGTCACAAATTTGTTAATTCTAAATAAAGAACATCCTAATTAACAGACTATTGAGAATTTTGTTCTTTAAAATTTGTTAATTAGGACTTTTCCTATATGTGGTGTATATTTTCTTCTTTAATTTGATAGATATCTGTATTTTTTTTATTTTTTTTTTTGTAGTTGCAATTTTTTGAAGACTCTAATGGAAACTTTTGAAAGAATTCAGTTGGTTTCATTTGATCAAGTCTTTTATGTCTTTATATTAATTAAAATATGTTGAAACATAACTAGGATCATGGAAATGAATGAAATTTGACACTATTATAAATAAAAACCGTTAATTAAAGCCATTGATTTTTCATCTTTTTACATGATTAGTGAAGTTAGCTAATTCTCTGTTTCAACTATTTATTGGAACATAGTATTCAACAACTAACATTTTTTTAATACAGTGTTTTTCAACCTTCTTGAATACGTGACCCCTTTACAAGTTAAAAAATTCTGGTGACCCCTAGGGCCATATTAAAACTATATCAGTGATTTTAAAAACTATGTATTTAATTTTCTTTCTGTTGAGACAAATTATTGTTGATTAAAATGAAAATTTCAGAAGAATCGACAATAATTTAACACACATAAAGTATGAAACTTCCTTTAATTATAACATTAGGCACAGGGAACTGTTGACCTTTTTTCTTTTTTCTTTCTTTCTTTTTTTTTGGATCTGAATTTTCAGCTTTTACTTTTCATTTCATTTTGGAAATCAGCTCAACACTTTTTCTGCTATCATTTTCTGGGGTGGGCCATAATTCTCACTGAAATTGTAGTTTTTTTAATGTAGTGTAGGACCTACAAACACTTGTCTTTTTATCCCCCTGTGTACCCGCGACCCCCTGTGTAAGGCTTGAACCCACAGGTTGAAAAACACTGATTTAATATATTCTTAATAAATTATTATTTTGTATAAGTTTATATATATAGCTTTGTAGCATGTTCTATGTCAGTGGTTGTTAAAATATTGTGCTTGGAACATTGGTAGTTTGTAAGCATGTGCCAGGTTGTCTACAGACTAACCTAGTCATTTTTCAAAAATGTAATTCTATGCTTTAGCCAGAGAAAAGAACATTTTCATGCATTACATATTTCTAATGTTAAGTTGAGAGAGAGAAAGAATATTTTGGTTTACAATATTTACAGGATAAGAAGTAGATGGGGATATAGGTGGTCCATGGTCCATCTATAACTCAATTTAAGAGATCCACAAATTGATAACATTGTGAATTACTGTTCGTATAAGCAAAGCATTTTTCTGTTTTAATTTTTAAAATGTTGAAGTGTTCTATAATTTTAAATATATATACTCAGTTTCATTAATTGTGCATTCTGCTTATTTTTAATGGGCTGAAGATGACCTAAGTTTAGTCATATCTTACAGTTTTAATAAATTTTAGATTAGTTTTCTTAAACTACAACGGTAATACCAAAAGTAAGATTTCCTATTTTTTTAAAAATACAAAGAAACGTTTATTTTCAATAATGTTTACATCATTTTAAAGCTTGAACATTTAGCTATTTTTCTACATAATCACCATTTCGATTGATGCATTTTTGTAGGTGCTGTGGCATTTTTTGTATGCCATGTCATACCAGCTTGCTGCCATGCAGTGGGACCCATTTTGTGCACATCTTCCAATATTGAAATTTTTTCATTAAAATCCTATGAATGGTGCTTTGGGAAATCCCAGGAACCAAAATGCAGAGATCATCCAGAGTGATCATTTAATGTACATGCATGGTTTGTTCAACCTTCGCAACTGTCTCTTTGGAAATTGATGGTCTCCCACTTCTTTCTTCATCGTGAATTTTAGTATGACCAGCTGCAAACTTCCTATGCCACTTGCAGATGTTTTTGACATCCATGCATGACTTGCCATACACTTCCATCAATTGGTGATGAATTTCAATCGGTTTAACATGACATGGCGGTGAGCTGGTATGACATGGCATACAAAAACTGCCACAGCACCTACAAAAATGCATCAACCAAAATGGTGATTATGTAAAAATATAGATAAATGTTCAAGCTTTAAAATGATGTAAACATTATTGAAAATTAACATTTCTTTGTATTTCTAAAAAAAATAGGAGACCTTACTTTTGGGATTATGTAGTGATATTTCATGTTTTTAGCATGCTCCACGATAGTGGTGAAGTACTTATATTAGGACTTTCATTGATCTGTCAGATTCATCCACGCACATGCGCAATGACTCTGTTCACTTTTGTTACCTAAGTGTTCCATTCAATCCATTCATTGCACATGTCCATGCACATGTACAAAAGTGAACTGAACATTTTTGTTTACAGTCACTGTAAGCTATAGTAAAAATATCTAGTTTGTATTAAATTAAATTTTATAATAAATTTATTTTATAAATATTTGATTTGCTTTTGTGGAACATGCTATCAGATAGGCTTGACCAATCTTGTTTATTTTTAGGATCATTCATGATATCTTATAATTATTTTTGTTAAAATATTTCATGTTTTTTTTTAATGGAGTTCATTTTTGCTAAGAATCATCAAAATATATGGATTTTCTTTTGATAATTATCATTTTAAAATCATTTAGAATTGTAGTTGTTGTTAAGAATTTTCTTAACATTGTTATATTATTTATACTAGATACATAAAACTGTGTTTAAATTAACATAATAATAAATTAATGTAAATGTATTTTAATTTTATTTATCATAAGGTATTGTGGCTTTTAAATTATGATGATGAAAAATCTTCACTTGCGGAAGCAGTTGATAAATATAATGTTGGTGTTCCTCCTGTGCAATGGTTACCTTGGATACCACAACTTCTAACATGCCTTGTTCGTTTTGAAGGAAGAGTAATAATGAATCTATTAAGTCATGTAGGACGTATGTTTCCTCAAGCTGTATATTTTCCTATACGCACATTATATCTCACATTAAAAATTGAACAAAGAGAAAGATGTAAGTCTATATATTATAAGTGATTTTTATTTTTAATTGCAAATATAAAATTTTATTCTTCCAGGACTGTCTACATATTTAATCAAATAAGAAAAACATACTGTTAAATTTAAATACTTTTAAGTCTGTATAATATCTTTATTAGAAAGAAGTCAGTTAAAGAGTAAAAATTTTATTTAAAAAATTCAAAGCAAATTTATTTTTAAATGATGTTTTTGAAGACTGAAAAATTTATATCTAAGAACTGGATTAGTTTAATATTTATTTATTTTTTAATTGATGATGATTTATAATAACAACAGAAATTTAGAATACTTATGATCTAAAAATTTTATTGACTTCTTATTTTCAATTTTTAAAAGATAAAACTATATATACAATATTTTATATATTTTAATTACATGTCATATCAAATAAACTGTGCTTGTAATTGGCAATCACTATTAAAACTGTTATATTTAAATTTATTTTGCTGTTAATTTCAAACTTACAATTATGGTGACAATTGCCATTTTTTAATGTGAATGACTTTTAATAATCTTACCTTCATTTAATGTTAAATTTACTTAATTAAATTTTTAAATAATAATAATAAACACATTTTCATATAATTTTATCATTGACATAATCTTTGCATTTATTATAATTATCAAAATAACATATTGGCATATGAGATTTTCAATATTGAAATGTTATGTTGAACTTTAAATAATTTAATTTTATAAAAGTCTGTAATTACAATTTTTTTCAATGGTAAAATTTTAATGTCAGATTATATGTAGTGAGTATATGTGCAGAAATTTGAGAATTATCTGTTTATTCATTTTTAACAGATAAAAGTGGAGAACTGACTTTACAGGCTGATGTACGGCGGTCTGGAAATCAAGTATCTAGTCCTGCTCCTTCTCATTCAATTGGTAGCTTATCTTCATCTCCATCAACATCCACTTCTTCAACAGAAGGTGTTCCAAACATTCCTGTCAATTCACCTAATACAACAGGTTGATATGAGAATAATAATGAAAAATAATTTATAATTATTATTCATACATAAAAATGATCTTTCTCATATAATTTTCTATAGAATCACATCAATCTTCTCAGCAACAACAAGCATCAGAAACGGGTCCTATTCGAGCCACACCACCAATGTGGCGGTGTAGTCGCATAATGCACATGCAGCGTGATTTACATCCAACAATACTTTCTTCCTTGGAAGGAATTGTTGATCAGGTATGTTATAAATTTAACTTTGTATTTATTTATTTATTTATTTATTTATTTATTATATATATATAAAAGGATGATTTATCTGAAAAGAATGAAATAGAAAGAACTAAATTTAATAATACTAATAATAATTTTTGTTATTTTACTGATTAAGTAATATCAATTTTTTTCATTTAAAATTTATAAGATTGAAATTAAATTTTTATGTATATAATTTAGTGGACATTTTTTTTATCATTTATTACAAAATTTATCTGTATTATTAATACCATTTCATACCTGTTATTACAATTGACATTTTTGTTTTTGTTTAGATGGTTTGGTTTCGAGAAAATTGGTATGAGGAAGTGTTAAGGCAGCTGAGACAGGGTTTGGCAAAATGTTATGCAGTTGCATTTGAAAATCGAGGTGCTGTATCAGAAGCACCAGTGACACTACATACATTAAATTTTGTAAAAAAACTGGTTTCAACATTTGGAGTTGGTATTGAAAATGTTTCTAGTGTTACAACAACTTTTTCTAGTGCTGCATCTGAATCTCTTGCTAGACGTGCTCAAGCAACAGCACAAGATCCAGTTTTTCAAAAGATGAAAGGACAGTTTACAGCTGATTTTGATTTTAGGTGAATTAAAATAAAATAAGAATGGTTAAAATGTACATTAATTAATAAACTGATAATTTGACTTTAAATAGCAACAAAAACATTACTCATAACTATAGTTTATTTTTGTAACAGTTTTTATCTTTGGATAAAATATATTTTTATATAAAAATGAAATTTTTCTATTAATACAATTTTCCTGAATTAGTAAAATATTTAAATTTCAGTTTAATAACAAATATGAAAGTTAGATATATTAAAAGAAAATAATAAGTGTGTTTTTGGTAATTGAAAATTACAAATAATGAATCTTGCATTATATTAGAATTTTTATTTTGCTTATAAAAAAGTTAGTTTGAATAATTCAGAATTTAAACATATGGAGCATTTATTAAGAAATTATGATACAGTCAACCCTCCTATAACACTGTTGATTATTCCGTTTTATATGAATTCCGTTGTACAAGTCATTTAGATTTTACAAATACGTGTGCCAGGCTGTGCATGGCTTATGTATTTGTAAAATCTAAATGACTTGTACAACATGGAATTCATATAAAACAAAATAATCAACAGTGTTATAGGGGAGTCGACTGTATATATTCTTAAATTTAATTCATAATTTTTTTAAAATATTTTTTGTAGTGTTCCAGGTGCAATGAAACTTCATAATTTAATTAACAAATTGAAGAAATGGATTAAAATTTTAGAAGCAAAAACAAAATTGCTACCAAAGTAAGTATTATAAATTGTTTATGAATTTCATTAATTTTGCAATTTAAAAAGCAAATTTAAAATTATGATTTAATGTTAATATTCTATGTTATTTTTAAAATTTTTCATGTAAAATAAAAAAAGTCTAATTTATATTGTAATTTAACTAAACAAAAAAACAAAACAAAAAAAAACAGCAGCTGCTTAATGTATAAATTATATAAATATACTTTGACAATAATATATTAAAATATTTATTCATTTTCATATATAATATATGATACAAAGAAAATATTTATCATGAAATACTTTTAAAACTGGAACTTCTATGTATTAACATGCAATAAACTTACCCACTTTTCTAGCAGGATAGTGTTTTTAATTTCAAATACACAATAGCAAATGTTTTCACCCTCTTTTAGGTGCCTGCTTCAGGCTCACTTAGAAAAAACAAAAATGCAAGCTGAGATTCAAAAACAAGAACATAAAGGAAAATTTTCTATAGTATTGAAAAACATTGAATTATTTGCAGTTAAATGAGATACAGTAGAGTGTCGATTATCTGAAAGTCAATTATCCGAAAGAATTCCAGTCGGCAAATTTAAATTTTCGCTAGTGCTGTAGTGCTGCAATCTTTGGCTATATCTTGGGCTACTCAAATATTTTACGTTTTTGATACTAAATTAACTTCTGAAGTATTATTTTTTATTGTTTTTATATTTTTCAATATATTTATTTTGTTTGTACAAAATAAAAAAATAATTTTTAACGATACAATAGTCTTCGTTAGGCTTAACATCGACAAAAATTCAACGCAAAGCGACACGCAATGGAGAAAAATTTTAACATCGGATACGTTAAACTATTTTTGTGTACATAATCGGTTATCCGAAATATCAGTTATCCGAACAACCCCAGTCCCCAATTGATTCAGATAATCGATGCTCTACTGTATTAAATAAAATCTTGAATTTAAACCATTGGAATATAATGTAGGATAAAATTAAAGTTTACATTGATAAATGAAAAAAAAATTAAAATTATTTCTGAATAATATTATTTATAAAGTTTTATTTTATTTTTTTTAAGAATTTAATAAGATATCAAAATTTTTTGAAACAAATGGGAAAATGAAAAATATAAATCTGTCTGTCAAATACTTATTAAATCTTCTTCAGATAACATTATCTTACATTCACCTGTATTGATTAAACAATTTTTTTGGTTTTTTAATCATTTCATTATAAAAAGTATATTGAATAAGTCTAATTTAAAATATTTCTATATTTATGAGAAAACTATGATAGAAAAAGAAGCATTATTTTTAAATTTAACATAACTGAATTAACAGTTATAACCTTATAGACCTGTAATAATCAGTTTTAATATAGTAATACTAAGTTTGTTTTGTAATAAAAAAATTAATTATTAATTAATTAGTTATTATTAAATTCCATATATTATTAAATTGATTTTTTATAGATCATTTTTGATAGAAGAAAAATGTAGATTTTTGAGTAATTTTTCTCAACAAACAGCAGATGTTGAAGTTCCAGGAGAATTTCTTTTGCCAAAAGTAAATATATTCATTTATTTCTTTTTTGTATATGCATATTATTTTATTTTTAAGTCAAATTCTATATTGTTCTAGGAAGTGTTTATAACAATTGAAATTATATTTTATTTTCTGAAATACCTAAAGAGTAAAAGCAGTTCACAAAAACGATTAAAATCATCAGTATGTCAATTTATTTTTTAAAAATGAGAAACTGTATATGCTATTGGGTTGTTCCAAAAGTAATTTTGTTTTTTTTCTGTGGAAAAAAACACAATATTTTTATAATAAATAAATATTTTATTGAATTATATATTGACCATTTTGGTCAAATACCTGTTGCCATTGTTTCTGTTAGCAGAATGATTCCAAGTTTATAAAAGTTTTGATGTTTGCTTACAAAAAACAGATCCAAGTAATTTTTAACATTTTCATTTCAAATAAATGTCTTACAGTTTAAAAAATTTTGTAAAGACCGGAACAAGTAATCTGTGGGTGCCTGATCTGGCAAATATGGTTGGTGTGATAGCACATCTTATCTAAGCTGTAACAGTTTCTGATGAGTTACCAAACTTGTGTGAAATTTAGCATTATTGTGGTAAAACACTACACCTGTATTGTTGATCAATTCTGGCCGCCTTTTTTGTTTGATGATATTACTCAATTTGTTTACTCGATGGCAGTACACTTTTGAATCAATTGTTAAATTGTCTGGTAAAAGCTCCAAAAAAAAATTTTCCTTAAAATTCCACCAAAGAGGCATCTCTCTTTAAGAACATGTGGAACCCATATATCAAGCTTTGAAACAAAACCAATTTGTTTCAAGCAATCATAAACAGTTCAATTTGACAGATTCAATCTCTTAGAGATTTCATTTGTTCTTATTTGGCAGTTTGCTTCAATCAGTACCTTTATTTTCTTTTCATTGGCTTCAACTGGCCATCCAGAACGTGGTTCATCTTCAATATTGAAATTGCCAGAATAAAATTTTGTAAACCAGTTTTGGCACTGTCTTTCTCTCAACACATCATCTCCATACATGTACCACAATATTTTTCTTGCTTGAACAGCATTTTGATTTTTTTGTTAAAGCAAAATATGCCGAAAATGATGCTTTCAATTTTCCATATTTGATGGGACACCGAAAAAAAATTGTACGGAATCAAACAAAATTATACACAAATAAACCTTTAATTGTCAGCTGCCAAAAATATATAATGAAAATGTGGTGTAAAATGAAATTGGCTGGTAAAAATACATCTCATTCCTCTAGTAATTACTTTTTAAACAACCCAATATATTACACCACAAGTAGAACATTCGTTCTTTTCATACATTATTTTGTTGATAATTGCAAGGCATTAAATTTATAAATGCATTTATCAAATTTATGAAATGTCTTAAAGTTGTTGTAGTACATTGATTAAAAGTTGATATCTTATTCCATTATCTTAACGATCAGTCACAAATTTGATTTTGCTTTTTATTGAATCACATGATTTATTTGAATGTGATATATTAGATATATGAAAACAAAATTTTAATTATTTATATATTGCTGCATCAGAATCCTAACTTCTTAATTTCAGTTTAAGATATATTTAGAGTAAAGAAGTATATGTCAGTAATTCTATTATTTTTTTCAGAAATGGTTACAAAATTTGAATCTTTGAATATCAAACTTAAGACAGTTGAAGTCAAAATTTAGAAAATGTTATGTTAATTTGTGTTTTAATGCTTAGATATTACAGAAATTTTGATTAATGCATCCCTCAAATTAACAATGTTTATAAATTTGTAATGAGTCAAGTAGTAGAGATAAAAGTTCAATTAGTGTTACTTTTGAGAGTAATTTCATATTATTATGCTACCAGCATATACATATTCAACAAACAACTTGAATGACAATGCACACTTAACAAACAGAAATGTCATCTGATTGAATCTACAGATAAGTTTCTTTAAACTATTCATATGAGAAATTACTTGATCTTAAAAAAAATGATTGCAATGGCCAAATTGACTGTATGTTGTGAAGTTAAAATCTTTTGATAATTTACTGTTTTATAATGAAAATCTCCACCAGCATTTTTATGCTAAATAAATAGATTTTTTTTAAATTTATTAGGTTAAGTAAAAATTAAACTTGGCTCAAATTCAGATTTTTATTGTGTAAGGTATTCGTGACTTTCTAAAATATATCAAATTTTTAAATTTATTAATACTGATAACTAAATAATTATATTATCATCACCAAACAACAACACCACAAACCCAGTTTTTGATTGAAACTAGATGATCTTCATCTGGCTTTAATCAAAAATATCAAAACTAGGGATTTATGCTGTAATTCTCAAAACACAAGAAAAATTTATTAAATATAAAAATATTACATTTATACAAAGAAAAACTTTGCTTGCTCTAGTTTCTTATCCATCATTTTAACAGACCAGCAACAGTCCACAAAAATTCAAAAGCAAAGTGTTTATTTGTATATACATAATATCTTTATATTTATTAAATCTAAATACTACTATTAGCCATATTTTAACTTTTTACAAGAAAAATTATTACGTTGAATTCCCAACCAGGTCTATAGCTAAGAGGTAAAAGAATACTTTAATTCAGTAGCATGAGGTAAATGCAATATGATTACTTTGTTTATACAATGGGCATGAGATGCTAAACAGTAGTATATTGGAACAAACCGGTCTTTATTCAAGCAAGAATGTAAGGAAGGATTTCCCTTAAGGATATTAGAATAAAATTTATATCCTATCAAAGTATATTAATATCATTAGCAGTAAGAATGCAACAGTACTTCTTAACAGTTAGAAAATAATAATAATGGATGAATTAAATTTTGAAAAACTCATTTACATAATCAAACAGAAAATAGAAATAGGCAATGAAGAACAATTCTAGGGACATTAGTAGTGTGCAGTAATTATTTGATTTTAATTTGCTTTGTATATTTATTTATTTATGTTTTTAGTTTGTTTTGATTCATGTACAGTTTATGTTATATTTTAAATTTAAAAATGTTTTTTTAAAATTTTACATTAAGTTGAAGAACTTGTTAGAAAATAATTTAAATATTTTATTCTATAAGGAAATCAAGTATTTTTATCATATTATTCCGTAACAAAGTCAAAGAAGTTTGTATATTTTGAAACTAAGAACGCTTAAACAGAGCTGAAAATAAAAAACTAATACAAGTACATGGCTGGCGTTATTCACATTTAATAAGTACTAGCAGATGAGCCCAGCGTTGCTCGAACAAAACGATAGCAAAGATTACGATCATTAGATTATAGCCGATCTTACCTGTTTTCACAGAGTGCAAGAATTAGGTCCCCCCTCTTCCGAGACTAATTAGAAAATTTTTAGATATCTTCTTACCACACTGGGATAACGATAATTAAGATTCATACCAACCACTAACCAGTGCGTAGTACCACTAAGTGATAAAAAACGTTTTCGTAACCCCTTCTGGGTTCTTCTTCTAGTTTACTAAATTTGAAAAATAAATTGGATCTTTTTGAATCATTCATAAATATAAATTCGAACATTAAGACTAAGAGTTCAAATAAAGCGAACTTATGTGCATGCGTTCAGGCCGTGCGGTAGATTTTCTAAGTATGATGCAAGTCTTCGAAATGCCGCCCCTTATATGTTTTTTTGCTGCCCCTTATATAAATTATTAGTCTTACATAGGCTATAATTATTATTTGGTGTATCTTACCAGGGCTGTGTGATAGATTTTCCAAGTATGATGCAAGTCTTTGAAATTCTGCCCCTTAAATGTTTTTTATGCCACCCCCTCACGGTGCCACTTGATGCAGCTGCATTTCTGCATCATAGCACGACGCAGCCCTGCATGCGTTCCCCGTGTCAACTTTATATACTACAAGTTCGGACACGTGCACTGCATATCTCACTGACCGTGCAACTGTGCCATGCGGTTACCTATCTTGTATACTTACACATCTTGCCCCTCACCACTCGCTGACATCAAAAATATAATGCTTAACTAGATGATATCTTTTAATTTATATGACTGTTTAATGGAATACTATACAGCTTATGTCCACCCTGAAGGTCCATTCTAAATATTGGTGAAAGAATTTTTGAAATCGGATGAGTAATTTCAGAGATTACCACCTACATCCAAACTTACTAACTTTACCTTTTTATAATATTAGTATAAATTAAAAATAAATAAATAAATTATTTTTTATTATTTTAATATTTATTAGAGCTGAAAATGTTTTTTCAGTGAACCAAAGAATTTGATTTCCATAAGTAGTATTTTTTAAAGTATTTATTTGATAATGTTATTTAATAAGTAAAACAGAAATGAAACAATACAATTAAACACTTCTCTTATTCAGTAGACATTTGTATTTCAGTATTTGAAGTTCAGTCTTTGCTGTTTTTTTATTTTATAATTACATCTATAATGAACTGCTAATGGAAAGTGAAACAGAAAAAGCAATGTTTTAATGTTTGATATGTTACTTTTTAAACTATATTCAGTCAAATCTCATGCTTTCAGTATCTGCTCTGGAGATTCAGAATATACATTGGCATGGGTTATGCAAAGTTTTATTTCCATTCTAATAATTTTCTGTGAAGTAAATGCTGGTGTAGATTATACCTCCTTAGGTTATTCACACAAAATTACAGTAATATTATTATTGCCATATTGTGACAACTTAAATACATTAATATAATAATCATAATTAATCCTGATAATTGAATATTTTGGATATTCTCAGATAGATTAATATATATGCATATTTTTTTGTAGCCCTTTTCTGTTACTTTGCAACATGGTCATTATTTTCTGAGGATAGGAAGATTTATGCCAAGGGTTGAGATAGTACAGAAACATAATACTGCTGCTCGACGACTCTATATTAGAGGCCATAATGGAAAAGTAAGTTATTTATTTAAGATAATATAAAAATTAAAATTTTTAAAAATATAATTAGAATAAAATGAGGATAAAAATTATATTCATATAAAAATAAAGCAGAAATATAATTTTTGTGTATAAAACAATAAATTAAATGTACCATAAAAAACTAAATGAAGATGATTTTTATTAAAATGCATTCTCTTCATTCATAAACTGGGATCACATGATTATTCTTATTCAGATTGACTGTTTAAACTCTTGAACAGTTAAAATTGGAATTTCTCTTAAATCTTTTCTGAAAATTCTGACTTACTAATTTAAAAAATCTTTAAATGAATAACACTTTAGAAGTATGTCATGTATTTTAATGTAGGAATTATTTTATACTTTATTTTCAAATATTAAAAAAAAAAAAAAAGATTTTTAAAGAAAGAAGACCCTTTTTTTAAAAACTGTAATTATAAAATATATGCAGCTACTAGATCTAATTCTTTTCAAATAATGGATCTTTTTGTTTATTTTCATTTAATCCTTATTAGTAATATACTGCTCAAAAACTACAATTAGGAATATCGTAGTTTTAACTTGTTAATACAACAAAATAAATGTTTTTATACAAAATCAGATGTGGAAACTTTTATTACATTTATGGTGCAAGATATAAATCATTCATGCAAAAAATATTTTGTAATACAGTTCAGAAGAACCAAAACTTTAAGCCAGCTATTTACAGTATTGAATTTTATTATATATTTGACTATTTTCAAAATACAAAATTGATCAAACTATGATTAGTTAAACTGATATTAGTCAAAATTAGGTTCTTTTCTGTTAATCAGATTATTATGAATAAAAGTCAAAACATTAAGTCAATAGTAGTCAATTTCCAAGAATTCTATAATTATGATATAATAATAATTATAGAAGTTATAAAAGTTATACTTTTATAATTATATTAATTATAAAAGTACTTTTAATATATTTGATACAAAAAGTGCAGTTTATACAGATCAAGATTTTATAATCATTTGCAATTGATCTGATTATTGAACAATCATGATGTAAATCAATTAAATCACAGTTACAATCAAATGTTTACAATTATTACAGTCAAACTAGATTTACAAATTATAAAGCTGGTTTACAAAACTAAAATTGCCATTTTGTTGTTATGGAACTTGCAAATATTTTCTGTTAAAAAAAGGTAAAAAAAACCAGGCAAAAAACCAAACATGCCTTTGAAAGGGTTAAAATTCAGATTGACTATTTTTCTTGAAAATTATAAAATAATTGTTGGAAAAAATATGTAAACAATAAATCATTTTATCACAAGCAAAACAATAAAATAGAAATTGGAGAAGTCTTATGAATACTTTGTGAGTGTTTAAAATAGCTATTACAATGGTAATTTTGATTTTGAAAAACAAATTGTTAATTTATAATTTTTAGTATCAAATTTATTCATCTTAGAATATTTGTACAAAAATAAATATTATAAGGACATCATGTTCTAACAATTTTTACATATTTTCTAAGGAAAAAAAGAAACAACTGAACAAAACTAAAATGATTAACAGTAAAACTTAAAATAATAAAACATTATAAAATTAGCACTTAAAAGAAATATAAAAGAAATATTAAAATATATCTTAATATACTATTAAAGTAAATTTAATATTGCAAATTTTCTAACTTTCAAACGTTTGTATAAAAAATTCTAAAGATAATTTATATTTTCAATATAAACTTTTCTAGAATTACATACATAATTCTATGTTATATGAAGATTATAATCTTTTTTCTTGTTTTTTTTATTTATTTATTTTTATCTATTCAATAACCCTTGAATGATCTTTTTATTTATTTTATTTATTATATTACTAATTAAGGGTCCATTCCACTTGATGCTAATTTTTTTTATATATATCTGTAAATAATGGATGATAAAAATTAACTTTGAAATTATTTTGCTTTTACATATGATAAGATGAAAATTAATAGAGAAATAAAACCAAATAATATGACTACTGGATAACAAATTAGTTAAAAATCATTAGTTGTGTTATAAATGAAATAACAGATTATAACCAACAAGAGACTCCCTTCTTACTTTTTCCAGCAAACAGTTTTATAACACAAATGTTTTCAGCCTCATTTAGGGACCTGCATCAAGTTTTCAAACAAAAAAAACTAAGTAATCCCTGTTAAAATGTTCTATTGTATAGAATGTTGTAATTTGAATTACTTGGTTTTTTTCAAAAACCTGATGCAGACCCCTAAATGAGATTGAAAACATTTGTGTTATAAAATTGCTGGAAAAAGTAAGAAAGGTAGTTCTTTTGTTACTTATAAGAAAGTTCTAACTTTTGAGTAGTTTTTAACACAGAAGACTTTGTTTTGGTTTATTTTGTTTAAATCAAAATATATTAAATTAAAATCTGAAGATTTTATATAATATAAATTATTGTAATAGAATTAATTACAAATTAAAATTTGCTATTATAATAAATTCTATAATATAATTTCAAAGTTTTTCATAATATATAAATTTTACATTTTGTTTGATGTTCAAAAAGTACTTTCAACAAATTATATATATATGTATAGCAAAAATTTATTTTTTTTTAAATTTTATATCTTGTGTGTAATATTGTTGATAACATTTAACTAAATTAACTAATTAGAGTTATATCAAACAATAGCAATGATAGTGATGAAATACTTTGTTATTATGATTGTTTTTTTTAATAATTATAATAAATTATTTCAAGTAAGCAACATCAATAATTTAAAACTGAATCTTCTTAGCTGTTTTTTTCTAGACAAACTAATTTTGAATTATTCTGTAAATAATAATTAACATTGATTAAAATTACACCATAAGTTTTACAACAATAAACAATATATGCTTTTGTAAGAGCTGCTGCAAACTACAGCTTTGTGAGAGCAAAATGCTAGCAAACATGCGCTAGCACACCCAATGATGTCAAAGACCCCACCCCTTTCTTTGTGCCTGCATGGTTATCCCTTGCTAGAGCAGTGATATGAGTGTACGCTCTCTGTTGACAGAATTCAACAGACAGAGCAGTCATGCTAGCAAGAGAGAGTGGGGCATGTGCAATGTTATTTTACAGCCAAGAACTGAACAATGCACATGCCAGTTTTAAATCAGTTATGTATGTACTTGTGTTGGAACAAACCTAATATTTGGAAAATACTCGCAAATATTTTTATAAATTTATTTTGTTTCATCATAATTTCACAATTTCTACGAAAACTGGACAAATTTATAATTAATCTGAACCATGAATATAAAAACCAGCTTGTCTGGGTGAAAACCAGCCTGGTGGCAACACTAGTTGCTAATCTCCTATGATGCAGCACTTTTACATGAGCAAACATTGTGTAGATTGTGCCAAAGATCTTTGGTGCAACTGAATGTTAACAATGGTAAAGGAGTCATTGCTGTTGTAGCCTGTTTTGCATCCAAGAGAATAAAGATTCACAGAGAACTACAACTGTATGATTTGAGTATAAGGAACCTGTTGATATGCGATATTTTTAAGGCTGGCTGAAATAACTTACCTAGCAAAAATGGCTCGTAGTGTCGGGGGAAAGAAGGTGGGGCTTTGGAGCACAACCGAGCATATGCTAGCTCCTGCTTCCTGTAGTTTGCAGCAACTCTAAGACACTTCATGATTTCATATTTATTTTAGTAAAATTTTGTGTTTAAATAAAAATATGTGATTTTTTATATTTTTTTATTTATAGATTTGTCCGTATCTTGTTGTTAATGATGCATGTTTGAGTGATGCAAGACGTGAAGAGCGTGTTCTTCAGTTGCTAAGAATGCTCAACAATTATTTGGGTAAACAGAAAGAAACATCGCGTCGATTCTTAAATTTTACGGTGCCACGTGTTGTTCCTATCAGTCCACAAATGAGATTAGTTGAAGATAATCCAACATCTGTGTCACTTTTGGATATTTATAAGCAGGTATTTCATCATTTGCTTTAAAATATTATTTTCTTTCTTATTATGAATAATTTCAATTAAGATATTAATTTTTTGGAAAATGTTAAAAATTTCTTTTAATTTCATTTGCTGAGTAATGGCTAATGATTAAGTTGCATATCTGAAAAGAAGATAATCTTAATATTAATAGGTTTTCCTCATCCTATCTTGAATAAATAGTTATATTTTATAGACACTTTGCTGCACTAGAACAAGAGGGTTCTATCTGCAGAAAGTATAATTTTTCAGGAGATGATCTCAAAGTTTGACAGTAGTTATGGAGAGTGGTGATATTCAAAATATTTAACAAAGGGTTCGCTAACAGAAAATTTTTCCTTAACAATTTTTTTCCACTCAAATGGTGCATTAGCAACATTAGTGCAAAAACTGACCTTAAGATACCCCTATAAATAAAAAAGATGCATTTGCAAAATTAAGTCAGTTAAAATTTAACCTTTTTTATTCCAGAACTATATATATATATATACAGTAGAACCTCCATTATCCGGATTTTCGATTATCCGGATTGTTCAAAATAAACAAAAATTTTACAAATTTGCTGATTTGCACTTGGCGAATTACAACACTGTTTATGTACGTGATGGAATGCATAACATTTTTTGTTTCAACCACGTCTCACCCCACACAGTGGTCGTAAACTCTCAAATATATTTTGCGTTGTAATAAAAATATAACTTGACATACGTATTTATAAATAATTTATATTCAAATTACATCATTTCTATGACCAAGGGCGGCGTAAGGCATGGACAATGTGGGCCACCGCCTATGCCTCACGGTCCGAAGGGCCTCGCGCCTCGAAGGTTTATGCATTACTTAAAAGCCATGAACGCGACAAAAAAATTTTACTTGTCGTAAAACGATAAATAGTTTGTCAAATTTTTATTCATAAAAATGCAGTTTTAACTGCTTTTTATTTTATAAAATCCGTCTTCTTGCGCCACCAGAGGGCCTTTTAAACAATAGGTAGTCTGTTAGCGTTGGTCAGTAGTAGTCCAAATGCAACATGAACGTTTGTTTCTTGAAAATTTGATCACGATTTAAATACAGTATTTACTTTTAATATTACCAATATGTCATTGAAAAGAAAACGTGTTGCATTATCATTAAAAGACAAATTAAAGTATTTGTTTCGATTATCCGGATTTTTCCTTATCCGGACTACCTTCATCCCCAATTAGTCCGGATAATCGAGGTTCTACTGTATATATATATATTTATAAATAATAAAACAGTGTTCAAAATGGTTTATTTTGTACATATATTTTATTACGACACGTGTTCCGCAGCCATCTTGTATTTTCTCGCGCATGTAGGATTGTGGGATCTCTCTTATGCTGGATCTAGTTTCAAGAACTCTCTTGAGTCGAGTGTGATTGAAACGGTCGAGGGAGGTTGCACCAAGGCGAACGGGGTATAAGGCTCTACTTTAGTAGTGTTATAGAGTATAATACGTATATTTTAATATATTTTTTAAAAGAAACAAAACCACTGAGAAGTGTTACGTGTGTTTAGCAAGGTTTGGAAAACTTTGAAAATGTTAACAACGGGTTCGGCCGAACCTGTGCAAACCCGCTGAATATCACCACTGGTTATGGACAAACGTATAAACAGCAGATGAATGATTTTTTCTACATGAAATTGTAACTCGTGTGTATCAGTGATGTAGTTTGAAAGTCCTTGTCCTTAATAGTTTCACAGGAAAAAAAATAGCAACTTGGTAGATAGAACCTTATGATCCTGTAAGGTTGTATTCATTAAACTAAATCCAACAGGGACGTACTTCCATTAAATTTATTTTCTAAATATTTACAAAGTATTTGTTTTTATAATTTCTTTATAGTCCTTAGGATTTTTGCATAGTAGTTGTGTAGACAATTTATCATCACAAAATTCATATTCTAATTAAGTAGCATTGTCATCACTGTTTATTTTATTTTTTAAAGCAATTTTGTAGTATTTAATATCAGTCTGTGGTATCCACTTGAAAATGGATTTGATACCAGTCTTCTTAGCTTCAGAAATCTGTTGGTTCTTTCTGATGAAACTCTTCTTTATTGTAGAAAATTTAATTGGCTGAAATTTGCTAGTTATTGTCAATCTGTTCTATCTTTGGTGCAACTGAATGTTAACAATGGTAAAGTAGTCATTGCTGTTGTAACCTGTTTTGCATCCAAGAGAATAAAGATTCACAGAGAACTACAACTGTATGACCTGAATATAAGGAACCTGTTGATATGCAATGTTTTTAAGGCTGACTAAAAATCAATGAATTGGTTCTCCTTCATTTGAATGACTCTGTATGAATTCTACTTGTTCACTTTGAGCAAGGTTCATATAAGCATTAAAGGGTTATGGTTACCCTTTAGCAACATGAAGAGATTTTTCGATTCATGAATGGGCATTGTTTATTTCTTAAATGCAGAAATGTCCCAGAGTAGAATACCTCACAACTATGTTTTTTATCTTAGGAAAACATTGAAGTAAATCAGCCGTTGCAAAAGAACAAATTGAATTTTTTTTTTTTTTTTTGAATGAAGCTGTCACTCTACGTTATCCACTTTATAATGTTGGCATGAACATTTTCACGAGTGTAGAAAATTATTAAAGCTTTGCATGATAAATGTTAATATATTATCATTCAAATCTTATTTATTTGTCTTGTATTGGTTGTATTTTATCATCTGACAAAATTTGTTCACAATCTGTAACATATATTTCTTATTTTATCTTTGAAAAGATACTCCTTTCATGGATACTGCTAATTTTGTAAAGTAATTCTGGGAAAACTCCCACCAAATTCATCCCTTCCTGTTCATATGACAACCAATTATCAAACACTTGCACTTTGTGTCAGTAATTATCTGATGCTCTATTGATATTTAGACAGTAACTCTGCAGCATGGGAAATTTCCCTTCTCTCTGCATGGGCATGCATGGAAGACCTTTATGGAATTGGACATAATCTATTGGTTGTTGCAGATATATAAAGTATTATTAACAAAATAGTTCTAATTGTATACACATTTTAACCACTTGATTCCCGATCAATTTTTAATTACATCATAATTAAACATAAAAAATACTTAAAACTAAAAAAAAAACGAAAGAAATACATTAATTTTGAAGAAAAAGTTTCAAACTTTATTTTCCATTGACTTCCCTTTCTGCGAAATTTGACACCAATGAGTAATTGTGTTTACAGCTGGATGACCTTGAGAACAGCTGGTGTTGGATTTCCAGGGACATTCTCATAAAAGCTACAGGAGGTGAAGGGTTTATAGTAGGGTGAATACTAGCTGGGTGTATATTTTTAAATATTTTTAAAAAATTAAAATTTTAATTGCGATTTCCAACCCCCCTGATTTAATTAAACATATAATATAATAAAATATAATAATTAAAAAAATTAAAAAACTATTGGAGGTCGTTTTTGACATCAGAAACTAGCTTTAAATAACTTTACCGAAGTAAAATCTGTGCACTAGAACTTTAGAATGATGAATAAAATTTGATAAAAAAATCCCATTAAAAAACAATTAAGTGTTAATCGTGCGTCATTAAAGGTAGATTAAATTCGTGATAAAATTGTTTCGCGCGGGAAAAAATTTTGAAAGATGGGGTGCCTCCAGGTTCCACTCATAGGTATGACCTGGAGGTTGGAGGAGAAAAGTTGGTGAAATGGGAGTGAGGAAGATGAAGGATAGGGATGAAAAGGGGGAAAAATGGGGGAGACAGGTGAGAGTACATGGTGCCTGCACCACAATTATTGAAAGCATAACAATACATATCACAGATAAAGAATTGACCAAAATACATTGATGTGCACCAGACAGCGGCGAATACATAAAAATGTATATGTAAGAGCTACAACATAAATATACATAATAATTAACATGATATGTACAGTGAGATTTTGCTTACAAGAAGTGTGCAAAACAAGAGGACAAGAGGATTAACATCAATAATTAACATGAAAGTGGAGAAAATTATACAATTAAAACTGGATAATTACAATAGAACATGATAGTAAGGTAAGGGTGGAAAGAAAATAAAAAACGTACGTCAACGTCAATTATTGGCGAGTGCTAACAAAGCACACAGCAAGATAAGTCAGAGATGCTGTATGTAATAGGAAAAGCCAGTAATGCACACTGAGTAACAGTTTACAGATGGTAGTACATTGCAGGCAAAAGTAACAATAATATACCTCATGAATGCATAAGAGGTTTACAAGTGGTGTTAGACATTATACAAAATACAGAAGTGGAGATAAGTACATAACCTGTGAGTTGGTTAATAATACACTAGTATAGAAAAGTTACACAAACATAAGATTAGTGATGCATACAGAAATTTACAATGGATTACAGAAAACATTACAAACAAATATAGATGATACTGCACTGCAGTACACGAGTGTGGAGTGCACTTACAGGACACACGGGTAGCAGGAGTGCGTGAACACGATTGCACAAGAGAAAACGGTACTACTTACCCTGTTACACAATGGAAGAACAATCTGTGTATATGTAGCGATAACCAATGGAGCAGCATAACTGGTTGGAAACCTGGAACAATTGTCGGAGAAAAAGTTAGCCAGTTGATCAATCATTTCTAGCAGACTGTTGATCGCATGGTGAGTTGAGTGCTGCTATTGTTTCCAGAAACTTGATGAGATGTCAATAAACATTCAGATCTTCCATGAGTCTGCTGTTAGGGTATGGCCAGTTGTTTCTGGCATGGAGCACATGCCCCATGAGTCTGTCTCTCTCCTGTTTAAAAAGTTCACAGTCCCACAGATAATGCTGGCTGTCTTGGATTGAAGTACTGTTGCAGGGGCAGATGTCCATGTTTTTAAGATGAAACCTTTTTAAATAGCTATTGAAATTACCATGTCCAGTAATTAAATGGGTCATGGAGAAGGTTGGTTTGAAGTATTTCCATTTAAGTCTTTCGTT